TTTTAGAGGAAGTGTTCATAAGGAGGGTCTGAAGTAATCTTGGAAGCAGGGTCCAGCCAGCTGTGGCATAGGGCGAGGGCACAGCCATGTTAATTGCTCAGCACCGTTCCTAGAAGTCATGAACATGTAACTCTACATTCTTGTTCAGTAGCTAAGTCCGGTCCAACTCTTTTCAATGTCATGGACTCCAGCACACCAGGCTCCTCTGTCCTCCACTTTCTCCAGGTGTCTGCTCAAATTCATGTCCATTGAATCAGTGATGCTATCTAACCATCTCATCCTCTGCTTTTCCCTCCAGTCTTTCCCAGCATCAGGGTCTTTTCCAGTGAGTCAGCTCTTCACATCAGGTGGCCAAAGTATTGGAGCTTCAACTGCAGCATCAGTCGTCCCAATGAATATTCAGGTTGATTTCCTTTAGGATTGAGTGATTTGATCTTGTAGTCCAAAGGACTATATCACATTGTGAAAGTGAAAGTCTGTCAGTCGCGTCTGACTCTGCGACCCCTTGGACTATACAGTCTGTGGAATTCTCCAGGCCAGAATGCCAAAGTGGGTAGGCTTTCTCTTCTCCAGGGGATCTTCCCAACCCAGAGATCAAACCTAGGTCTCCCACATTGCAGGCGAATTCTTTTCCAGCTGAGCCACAAGGGAAGCCCAAGAATACTGGAGTGGGTAGCCTATCCCTTCTCCAGGGGATCTTCCCAACCCAGGAATTGAACTGGGGTCTCCTGCATTGCAGGCGGATTCTTTACTAACTGAGCATTTGATCTCCTTGCTGTCTAAAGGACTCAAAATTCTACTGTATATCACTCTGTATCTGACCCTATTTAATGGGATTTAGGATTCCAGTATGAGAAACACAGTTGCAGGACTAGAGTTTGATTTATTAAATTGACTTTGGGGGGAAAACACTAATTTTCTTCACCCAGATCCTCCCAACTACACTTGGAACATTTCTGTGGGTAAAGAAGTTTTCCAATCTAGTACCCCTGTGAAGTAATTACAAGAAATCTAAAATGTAAACTGAAAAGAAAAATATTCTTGTAGAGCCTTCCTTCCTCAGAAATTGAGTAATCTTTTTTCTGTATGCATCAGTCTCTCCATTTCTTTGTCTCTCTTTTATACATACAACAATTGAAAAATGCAGATTAATGGATGGGATTTTATATGTCACCACTTCATTTTTAAAACATGTTTCTGCTTTAAATGGGAACTACAAAAGAGAGTCACTGAGAAATTGACCTGGAGGAGGGGAATTCAATCCATTGCCTACTTTCTTCCCCCATATCACTAAAACCCTAAACAGAGAGTGTGATCATCTGTTTTCCAAGGGCAATCCTAAGCCCTTAAAACTCAGATCTGTTTAAGGATTTAATAGAACTGGAAAAAAGAAATGCACAGAATCTGCTCTAAACCAAGAAAGGAAAATTTACCCAACCAAATATTCAATCTTGAGAATTTCTTTACTAGTACCCTTTTCCTCCCTATCCCTTGACTTAGAGCACAGCTCTACAGATTGAATCTTTATAGCTTCTAGAATCTTGGGGTCCTATGGATCACATCTTTGGCTTCCGGTTGAGTCCAGCGCATTTTCTTTCACAAAGCGAGATAGATGGGGCGTTAGCTGTGGTTGTTGTTTATTTTGTTTCAAATGGTAGACACACTCGGCTTCTCTGTTAGAGCAGAGCCAGAGACATGGTGATATTTTTCCTGTTCATGCCAGCTCAGTCGCTTCAGTCGTGTCTGACTCTTGGCGACCCCATGGACTGTAGCCCACACGCTCCTCTGCCCATGGGATTCTCCAGGCAAGAATACTGGAGTGGGTTGCCATGCCTTCCTCCAGGGTTTCTTCCTGACCTGGGATTGAACCCAAATCTCTTAAATCTCCTGGATTTACAGGCGGGTTCTTTACCATTAGTTCCACCTGGGCTGCTGATATTTTTCCTAGGAACTTCTAAACTCCTTAGTTTTACTTCTAAGATTTTTTTTTTAAGTAAAAAATGTTTCATATTACATTTTGCAATGCAGCTTTTCTTTTTAAAAGTTCTAAGATAAAAGAAGTTGTGTTGCTTTTGTTACCCAGTAGATTGGGTATTACTTTTGCTTAGAAAATGTGCCCCAAATTCTCATTACACACAGATACCTTTTGTTTACCATGGTTATTTTTCATCCATATAGTATAGTATTATTAGTATGTAGAGACACAAGTTGATTATATGGGTGACTTTACAGAGAAAATAGAAGTGAGGAAATGTATGAAAGAGTATAGGGAAAATTCTTTTGAAAGAAAATTGCTCCAGAAGGCAAGAGTATGCCAAATTGCAGAAAGTAGGAAAGAGAATATTATATCCCAGTGGTAAGAGTGGAGTGACAGATCTCCATTTGGTCCAGATTTCACTGCTGACTAACAGCATGACCTTGGGACCAGTCCTGTTTTGTTTCTTAGCATCCCTGTCTGCAACACCAAAGATGTGCATTCATCAACGCTTTGCTTGGCTGGATTATTCTTGAAACACAGTTTTTGGCCTATGTACCACCTCGGTGGAGAGACCTCCCTGGCTGCTCTTAACACATGGAGACGTGCATGACTGATCTCTTCTCTCACGTCTTCCCCATCCCCTTCATAGAGGTTTTGTTGTCTTCATAATTTTTATCACTGTCTGAGTTCATGCTGATTCCTTATTCACTGTGCGCTTCCTGTCTTTCTCCACGGGATGTAAGCTGTGTGAGACCAGGGATCTTGTCAGTCTTGTTCACCCCATGTATTCCTAGCGCTGAGCAGTTCCTGGGATGTTTTGGATTCACAGTAAATATTTGTTGCAGGAATGACTAGGATTAGTGACTTTTAAAACTAGAAATGTCTTATGAATCCTTCAGGGATGGAAGTAGGAAAGAGATGAAGGCACAAGTGATGGGCCTTCAGAGTCTCCACCTCCTGTTTAATTTTGGGTATATTATATTTGTGTGTATGTATTATGTATGTAATATGCATAGTATATATGTATGTATACATAATTATATGGGGGCTTCCCAGGTGGCTCAATGGTAAAGAATCCGCCTGCCAACCAGGAGGTGTGGGTTCGATCTCTGGGTCAGGAAGATCCCCTGGAGAAGGAAATGGCAGCCCACTCTGTTATTCTTGCCTGGGAAATCCCATGGACAGAGGAGCCTGGTGGGCTACTGTCCATGGGCTCTCAAAAGAGTCAGACATGACTTAGCTACTAAACAACAACATATGTAATTATATATATTATATATAATATATACACATATGTAAATAATATAGACATGAGTAAAAACTTAGATATATATATATATATAAAGCATATATCATATATATAAGCTCTAAGGCACATGTGTATATCTATATTATATATATATAATATATATAAACATCTTTATGTATTTATATATGTGTATATATGAAGTATATAATAAAGTGTATATATATATATAAATATAAGGCATACATTTATATGTCTAACTGTGATTAAAACATGGCTTCAGTGCCACAATTATTTGAAGGATAAAGGGACATGATGATCTAAGATTGTTCCTAGATTGTAATTTTGTAGCCCACTATCACGTGAGGAGAAAATGTTGGTGCAAAGGAAAGGATTCTGGAATAGAAGTGACACGTATTGAGCGCCTACTGTCTGCTGGGTCCTGTGTCAGGCCCTTGGACCACACAGGAGAGACAGAGTTCCTGTTGGATGGAGTTTATATTTTAGTGGGAAAGAGTGTAGGGACAGAGAGGAAGCAAAGGAATGATCCGTTTAACTAGTCGTACGGTAATGCACAGCTCTTTGGTCCTTAAGTGGCTGACTGGAGATGGATCTGTGTTGATTAAAAGGAAGCAAGTGCTCTGGGAGGTGGAAAGCGATGACTCTGAACAGTTACCCTCAGAGCCGGGAGATGGACTCTTTGGCAGGTGCCTGCTCTGGGCCGGGACAGCTGCCTGCACAGGGGTCCTGCCGGTCCAGGCCGGGTGCTGCTTTGGCCAGGCTTGCAAGATGCTGGTTCTGATGCTCCTAGGCAGGAGGGCCATGTCAGCCACCTTCTGTCCCCTGGGATGGTTGTGATTGTTTTGTTGGATGTCACTGAAGTTTGAGAATTAAGGAGAAATGGCTGAAAGGCTCCTTTGGAGGAAAAGAAGAATATTATCTGTCTTTATCTATAGAAACAGAAAAGCGATGGTCAGGAAGTTAGCACCAGGACCGAAAGGAGAGGGAAGCACAGCAGGATGTCAGACAGCAGGCAGAAGCGAGGGCTGGCATTTGCAACAGTCACCGTCCTGTCTCCCTACAGGTACACAAGCCATACAGTTCTCACAGAAGCCCTGTGCTGCGAATGCCGTGAGTGTAGCTTTTAATTCTAATTATGGGAAACAAAGTCAGAGCAGCTGAGGAATGCTAATAATATCTTACTTTTGAATAGCAAATCTGCAGTTTGTCACATGTATATACACAAACTATCTCTGTTTATCCCCTGGGGTATTATTATACCCATTTCAGAGACAGCTAAGTGGCTCCCTGGCCTGTGCTAACTCCGCCAGTGACCAGAGCCATCCTGACCCCTGGGTTCTGCGGGGCGCCCAGCTGGCAGAGTGCAGTAGCTGGGCCCCAAATGCACCACTGAATTTGCATCTACGATGAGGACATTGAGTGTCTTGAGCTCCCAGAAGCACACCCACACATATTTTTGAAGCAATGACTCGCCTAGAAAGAATGGCAATCATGAATGGCATGAGGATGTCAGACACCCTGGGCACATCCAATCTAGAACAAGAGAAACTGGAAAAAGAGAGTCTTGCTTTGTTTAGTTTTTAATTCATTAATTTGTCAGAATACAAGTTGAAGTGAGAAAACTGTTTTAATTCATGAAAGCCTACACTTTTTTTCTTATGAGTCTGGTGAGTCAACCCGCAGGTCTGGGGGAAGAGGGCTCCAAGGTTGCTATGAAGAGAAACTTGATCTTGAATCAAAGAAGCAGATTCATCTCTAAAACCAAGATTGGTCTAAGTTTTTCTCCTTGCTTTTGCTTATTTTGGATGCAGATCTTAGAAGCAGCTTAAAAGAGAGACCAGCTGCTCTCTGCTGAAAAGTGATTTTGAATGTACTCAGATCCAGGTTGAATGTACTTTCCAGGCTGATGGGTGTCTTCTCAGTACCTGGAGAAAATATAGGCATTCATAATTGTTACAATTTTTGTTTCAAGATGGCGAAATACCTAATTTTCTATGTAGTTCCACTATTACAGTAGTATCAAACCTCTTGTAAACAATCATTTGGTAAATGTGGTGAGCACGCATTATTGAAGGGACCCAGTCCTTTATATTTCTGCGATTAAATGTACGGTGCACCAACTGTGAAACATTGATCTTTAAGATATTCTTTTGGTTCAACATTTTAAAATTATACTTACTAAGTGTTTAACATGTCAGGCACTCTTCTAAGTGTTTTTTGAGTATTAACTCATATTTCCTCATAATCCATGATGAAGTAGGTAGGTATGACCTTATCTCCATTGGACAGATGAGGAAGTTGAGGCATGAGATGGAAATATCGGCCAGGTTGTTCAGTCATGCACGTGGAGGCTGGGTATGAACAGAGTGAATGATGCCACCGCCCATGTATCTAGTCATGGTATCTGACTACATCTAAGAGAAGGTAATCATACGATGTCAGACTCCAGCTCACACATGACCCAGGCTTGAGTTTGGAAGCCACGTTCAATGAGACATTTGAAAGTCAATAATGATTAGGATCATCGTCTGAAGTACAGATAGAATTCAGAATGAATGCCTATGGGCCACAGATTATTCTTTGAGACAGTTGCCATTTTCCTATTTTTGAAAAGATAGAAAATGCTTGAACATATAGGATCTGTGAGTAACAAATATGTTTCAACTTGCATGCCAGGGGAGATTGGTAGTAGTTACCCAGAGGACTGCCTAAAGGATTCTAAGGCAATATCCAAACTGGGTGGGAAAGAGGGCCATGGTGGTTCATTACTGATACCCTCAAGATTCAGGAATCCAAACCTGGAGGATCTTGAATATAGATTCCTGGTGAAATGTTGACTTTTCCCATGGAGGAATGTATCAAGAGCTGATTACACTGTGAGTGGGGCCTTTATAGAAGAAATGTAGATTTATGTAAGTTCATTGGTGGTGTCTTGAAGACAAGGGAGTCCCATGAAGACACTATAACATCTGCTTTCTCTCAAGAGCTCAGATAAGGTCACTGAGGCTTTCTTCAGTATTTTGTAAGGTGCAGTGTACTCGGCTGCACTTCCTCCCTAACTTGCAATAAGATTACTACCCCCAACCCCCTTTGACATGGAAATTCTGGAGATGCCAGTACTCATGGTCAATATTCTGAAGGAAATCCAGTTTTGGTAGAAGCAGAGACAGAAACAATGTAGAAATGAGCAAATCACGCCCTAAACATGAGTGAGATCACTGGAACTTTCTTTGGGGAATCAAATCCTGCTATAGTTGCTTTTAAAACATTTTTAGCAAATTTGTATTAAGCTATTGTGTTCAGCCCAGAGTAGGCACCAGGAATGGAGTGGTTCTGTGGTCCCTTGGAGAGTATTTGCATATTATCAAGAGCCTGCTTTGACCCTGGAATAGCAGTCCCCAACCTTTTCCCCAGCTAGGCACTAGGGACTAGTTTTGTGGAAGACAGTTTTTCCATGCACCCGAGAAGTGGGGAGAGGAGATGTTTCAGGAGGTAATGTGAGTGATGGGAAGTGATGGGAAACTGCAGATGAAGCTGTGCTTGCTTGCCCCCTGCTCACCTCCTGCTGTGCAGCCAGCCAAGTCCCTAATAGGTTGCAGCCTTGTGCCAGGGGAGGTGAGCTGGGGTTGGACACCCTTGCCCTAGAAGATAAGGGATGTAGCATCTTGAGTTTTGGCACTCCCTGAATTGAATGCAGAATTTTGTGTGACGGCGTACACACATTTTCCATGCGAACCTGGTCCATAGCTTTGTCAGATTCTCCAAAAATTCCAAGGGCCAAAGAACCTGGAGCTGAGGCTTGTGGTTTTGGGAAGAAGGGTCCAGGGAAACTAGGGTAGTATGATTCTTCAGTCTGCACAGGGCAGCCAGTTCTCGGAGATCTGGATGTTTCCTTTCTTTTGCGTGTTCATTCTAGCTTCAGGAATCTGAACAACAAGCAAGGTTTCTTCATGCCTAACGTAGTTCCTTTGACTTGGGCTTTTGTTATCTAATTTGTTATCTATCTAAACGTTTTCTTCTTTCCAAAAGGCAAGCAGTCCTCAGGTAGTGACTGGACTCTCCACTCTGTTTTGCTGTGTTGTTATGAGCCCCGTCCTGCAGCATTTTCCTGTGTTTTTAAGTGGCCGCCCACCATTTTGAGCCTCCCTTCCCTCCCACCTTGACCTCTTAAGTCCACATTTATGTCTCAGGGTCATCGTGGGGAGCTTTGCAATGGAAAGGGCAAAGCTGAATTGGAGCCTCGTCTCGGGGATTTTTCATAGCAACACTGACTCTTTATTATTAGCTGTGCACTCCAGGCTGCTGCAGTTCACATTTTGGCAGTGGACCATCAAACACCCTATTTTTAAGAGCCTTTAACTTAGTTGTAAACATGTGCTGTGACTGGGAACTCGCTTTCTTTACTCATATTTACCAAAAGTGGTTTAACTGTTGAAAAGTTGTTATAAAAAAAAAAAAAAAAAGCTCAGACTTTGGAACCGTTTTTCCACTCGTCTAACTCAAAACTCTGTGCAATCTAAAAAAAGAAAATTTGGCATTTAGTTGCTTAATTTGATGGTCCAGTCATATTGGTAATTTGAGGGGAGGAAGGAATGGAACTGCTAGGTCATTTTACTTTGACATATGCCCATCAGACTTGCATGGAGGGAATAATGGTTGCTACACTTGTTTACATGGTTGACCAGAAAGTCCCAAAGAAAAGCAGTCCAGTACACAGAGTAAATTGCTTATGTCCTTATAATCTTCTATATTTAGAATAAAAGCTTTCTATGGACATATTTCCTGCACACTCTTAATTCTGGTCTGTACTGTACTGTACAGGTCCCATTAAGAGAATATAAATAATATCCCAGACTCGTCAATGTGCACCTATATACATGGATCATTGATGCCTCCTTAAAGTCTTATTGAGAAATTTCGTGAAGAAATCACAAATATGTTTATTTCTTTTATCTCTGGGAGGAATTTCAGCAAGTATAACAAAACACATTTTAATCTTTTGAGGAGACTGTGACTTATAGCCCTAAAACTTAAGGAATTTAAATGTTCAAAAGGAGGGGTTCAACTTTGACGTCTTCCACTTGTGATTTAAGATTCTAAAAGTAACGTTAGGCAAATTTTTGTGCTCCATCATAAGAGAAATACCAGCTTTCCTTGAGGGCTGAGCCTTTCTTGAAATCTTTTGCAAGAGAAAAGCAACTGTGCTTCCAAGATTGGCCGCATTTACGAGGTGGAGAGAATAAACACATACGGGAGTGTGTGTATTTCAGGGGTCATGAGCCCAGTGGGCAGCCACATGCCATGGAAGATGTCTGGCTTGGAAATCTGGCCAGTTGATGAAGGCATCTTTTCCGTACAGATCCTGCTGGGAGGCATCTTTCCTCAGTGTTATTCTTACCCCCCAGGCTGCCTCTAGCTGTTGCGTCCTCCCCATGTCCCAGACAGATGAGCGCCTACGCCGGCGGCAGGTGGACTCCACGACGGCTGAGGACACTGGCCTCCGTGGCCCTTGTCATGGGGTATGACGTCTCACTGCCACTCTTCCTGCTCTGACTTTCAAGTCACTCACCTTTTCTTGTGTTTTCAAAGACAATAACCTTCTGGTCCTGGTGGACATTCCTTCCATTAAACATGCACATGACCCTCACAAGTTCTTCTTGTCTCCATCTTCTTAAAGTGATAACGAATGGAGGACTCTCACATATATAAATCCAGAAATTGACAAGATCACGTCTCCATGCCAGAAGAACGCGAGCAGGGGAGAGAAACAGATGGCCTCACAGTGGCCTTGTGCCTGCTGCTCCTGCCGCATCTGCTCAGGGACAGCCCAGGCCGTTCTGCTAGGGTCATCTCCAGAGTCAATGAAAGGGACTTCCTTCTCTTTTTTTCTTAACGTGGACTGTCTTAGACTCGCTCAGACAGTACAGCATCTACCTGCAGTGCAGGAGAGCCAAGTTCCATCCCTGGGTTGGGAAGATCCCCTGGAGAAGGAAATGGCAACCCACTCCAGCATCCTTGCCTGGAGGATCCCATGGACAGAGGAGCCTGACGGGCTACAGTCCACGAGGTCGCGAAGAGTCAGACACAACGGAGTGACTTGCACTTCACTTTGATATGGACCACTTTTAGTCTTTGTTGAATTTGTTACAATATTGTTTCTGTTTTATGTTTGTTTGTCTTATTTGGTTTTCTGGCCACAAGGCAAGTGGGGTCTTAGTTCCCTGACCAGGGATCTAACCCACACCCCTGCATTAGAAAGTGAAGTCTTAGCCACTGAGCCACCAGGGAAGCCCTGAGCTTCCATCTTGAGTTGCTATGAACTGGAGTATACCAGAGAGTTAGGGAATGAGCTCAAAACTGTGTTCTTTAGGCCACTGACCAGGGTTGCTTTAGGGCTGTTGTGATACTGAAATGAAATGTGGTACATTTCATAGTGACTCTTTTTCCCTAGACTCCTAGTGGGTCATCAGACCTTTGATTGTACTTCATTATTAGGTCTCCAATGGGGTATTAGGTGACAGGTAACATAAACCAATCAGTGTAACAAGGAGTTGATTCCACTTCATTTTATTTTCCCCTTGTTGAACTGCAAGTACTTCACAGATATATCCTAATTCATAACACCCTTTTGGTGGAAAAAGCATCATTGCCTAGTTTGCATGTCTCTTATCTCCTTGAACTGTCCTGGAGGGTTGTCTGTAGCTTCTGCAGCATGATCTGATGGTTTTCACTGAGTCATTTTGCATAATCTTTTGAGCAAAGTACCACTTTAGGTAATTTGCTGAATTCAGAAAAATCACAACCAATTCTCTCTCAGGGTAAGTCTTCTCTGTATGAGCTGTGAAATGTTCATTGAGTTTGTGATACTTATTACAACCTGAAAGGGATCTAATCATTTTGTTTAATGGGTTGTACTTCCTCTGCTATTGAATGTGAGTTTATAAAAACTTAAAATAGAATTAAAATTAATTTAATATCAGTAGGAAAGTTTTTCCTAAAGATCAGTAAGAATATCTCTTCCCTCCCATGGGAGAGGAGGGTACTTGCCCCTGATCTGAACCTCTTTCAGAATAACAGAACCATAAGACCACATCTGTGCCCCCCTGTAACTAAAATGTATGCACTTGACTGTTCAGTGATTAGCGAAGAAAAAGTGGGCATCATGAATAAGAAGAACACGTATTTATGTTTTTAAAACTTTCGGGTGGGAGAAGAATTTGCAGAATTAAATTCTTAGAATTCTTTGTAAAAAAGTTTTTAGCATGGATTTTTGTTCAAAAGGTGGATTTCTTGTTAATGAATAAAAAGATGAGTTACTTGTATCAGTTATCTGTTGATGCATAACAAATTACCCCAACACTTAGCTGCTGAAAACAGTAAACACGTCCTACCTCATGTAGTTTTAAGGGTCAGGAATTGGGGCTTGCTAGTTCCAGGTGTCTCTTGAGGTTGTAGTCACCTCAAGGACTGACTGAAGATGGGGAATCTACTTCTAAATTCACTCACATATTGGGGTTGACAGGTAGCAGAGTTATGTTTAAAACGGATAACCAACAGTGGCCTTCTGTAGGGCACAGGGAACCCTGCCCAGGGTTACGTGGCAGCCTGGATGGGAGGGGCGCTTGGGGGAGAATGGATACGTGTACATGCGTGGTTGAGTCCTGAAACTATTACAAGCATTGTTAATCAGCTGCCCTCCAATATAAAATAAAAAGTTTAAACAGATAAATAAATTCGCCTGCATGGTGGTTGGCAGGGCTCGGCTCCCTGCTGGCCCTTGGACCCTGGCCTCCCTGGCCTCTCCACAGGCCGCCTGTGTGTTCTCAGTCACAGCAGCTCGCTTCCCGTAGACAGCGTGGGCCAAGAGGGAGAAAGCCAGCTCGGGGATCACTGTTTTTTACAACCTCGTCTCAGAAGGGATGCACATTTGCTTGCACCATATTCTGTTGGCCACATGGATCCACCCTGATACAGGGTGGGAGGAGAGAGCGCGAGACGGGAGCACCAGGAGTAGGTATTGTTGGGAGCCATCTAGGAAGCGAGTTAATATATTAATGAGTAAACACTGGCCCATGAGCCAGGCTGCCATGTCTCCCACTATGATGTTAAGGACGATTATACTCCTGACTATTCTAAGACTAGGCCTTTCATTCATTTCACTTGTGTTTATTGAGAGCCAGCTATGGGCACTTGGGATACATGAGGGAGTAAAACAAAGGTCCTCACCCTCATGAATCTTACACTCTATTTTATATTCTGCTTTGCATGTAGCAGATTCCATGGATCTGTGGGTCCAAGTGATTACAGTAAGTACCTGGATCTCACACCATTGTTGCAGGCTGACTTGCATTTGACCAGCTTCAACTGGAACAGCAGTAACTATTTTATCAGCCAGAATAAAGGTAGACTTCTTGAAATATGTCCTAACAATATAATCTCTCTGGTGATTACATTCTTTTATTAACTCGCTGTCTTAAATGATGACTTCTTTGTCTTTGATCACTAAGTGAGGAAGTAGAGTACATTACTTAAGAATTAAGGGAAGTAGCGTGCATTACATAAGAATAAAGGTTTGAGAGCCGTACCCTCCCAGATTTGAGTCACACTCTTCTGCTTTCTTACTGTGCTCTCTTGGGTGTGTTGTTTAACTCATCTGACTCTCAGTTTTGTCATCTGTAAAATGGTGCGAACAATGTCATTCTTCTTGGAGCTGTAAGCCATAAATGACTGAAAGCACTCATCTTAAGATTTGGTACATAGATATCACTCAGTTTTATCTGCCTTTTCTTCATTCTGACTGCATCTGTGTACTGCACACAAACTCATTACCAAAGGTGCTGTCAGAAGTGACCCCTAGTTCAACCCACACTAAACCATTCAAGACATTAAGAAGCAATGTGATGTTAGTTCCAGAAGTACGGCTGCCGCTGGTGTGTGTTAAGTGGGAAGAATAGCTCAATCTGGGTTTCATAACTTGTGCTGAAGCCTTTGGTTTATCATCAGGAGTTTACCGTTTAGAAGTGTAAAAATATTTTCAATATCCACCTGCTGGTTCCCTACCGATGCTGTTTCTTTTAAATATACTTTACTGATGAGTCATCTGTCAGCAAAGCAACCGGGAGAAGACAGGCTCATGTGCTCAGGGGTTTCTCTCTCATGTTAGTCTTGGGTCCCTGAGCTAGGAAACCCCTGACTTTTCACTGAGCGGGCAGCTGCTTCCTGTCACAGAGATGCCTGCCTTCCCAAGGCTGTGAAGCCTGTGGCCTCACTCTGGGTTCCTCTCTCACTTTCCTTCCTGGAGTAATACCATTAGAGAAACTGGCAGTGAGGAGGAAGGGACCCTTGTGACTGCCAGCCCCAGAAAGAATATACAGATTGAGCAGCTCGGTATATTTTAGTGGAGGGAAAAGTGTCAGTCACTCAGTTGTGTACGACTCATTGCGACCCCATGAACTGTAACCCACCAGGCTCCTCTATCCATGGAATTCTCCAGGCAAGAATACTGGAATGGATAGCCATTTCCTTCTCCAGGGAGTCTTCCCAACCCTGGGATCAAACCCACGTCTCTTGCATTGCAGGCAGATTCTTTCCCATCTGAGCCACCAGGGAATCTTGGTAGGTGCAGTATAGTTCTTGGAGGTATCTGGTAATTTGGAACTCTGTGCATTTTACACGCCCCACCCCATTTCACTGGGCAAGAAATCTATACATGGGTGATACATAATCTCTTCAACTATTGAAAGACATGAACAAATGTTACCAATTTCCAGGCAGTTGTGGGCTCTGGACTCTGGATTAGTTTAAGAGGAAAGGAATTCTGAAGACACCAGGAGGGTGGAGAGGACTGGGGAGCAAGGAACAGATGCTTGAAGTCAAACAGTCTTGAGTTTGAATCCTGACTCTGATACTGTGACCTTGAGGAATGGTATTTTTTAACCTATCCAAGCCTATTCATATAGAAAATGAGAATAATACCAACCTGTGAGAGTATGTAAATCGCCTAGCAACTTGAACAATAAAAAAAATAAACAAGCCGAAAAAGAAGATCCCAGGAAGCACTTTTTCCTCCCTCCACTCTATCAGTTTTCTAAGTTAATCAGTGTAGATCATCACATTGTTTTTCTCAGGGAAAGATATTTGCAGCTTCCAGGACTTCACTCCTCAGCACTACTGTATATAGCAGTCACTGGGGAGTGTGTTAAATTGCTGAGCTCCACCAGCAGAAATTCAGGAGCTCTGACGTGGGATCTTTCTAGAAGGGTCTCAAGCCACGTTTGGAGGCACAGGCTTCAGAATAACTCCAAGTCTTGTAAAGTTTTGAAATCACCTCGGCTTAAACATTTGACATTTGTGGAGATCAGATGGGAAACACATTCTTTTGGCTTTTGAGCCATAGGTATTTTAGAGCAGTGGGTGATTCTCTGCGCTTCCTGGGTGCTTTGGAAGGCACCAAAGCAGAGGTTTGTGAAGGTGCACCTTCCATTCTGTGGAAAATCTGTCAGCTTTCTGTGTGACCCATTGGAACCATTTACTACTTTCCATGGGCACCATTTAAAAATGCAAGCAGGAACAGGACGCCCAGGAATATCTGTGGAATGTAGGCCTGAAGCTGAACGACAAGTAAAACCAGAGGGCTTGGAAAGATAAGGAAGGCCAAGAGGCTGAGTGCTTACCCTTGAAATGTGACTGCCCGCCAGGTAGGAAGTACACTTGGAGCCCCAACAGCAGAGGCATCATCTGGTTCTCTGATTTCCTCTGTCTGCTGGGTCGCTTTCTCGATTCCTCCAAGACATCGCTTGAATCCTCTGTCTGGTCGCCATCCTGGTCAGCTGCTGCAACAGCCGATGGACCCATGTCCCTGTTGGTACACATGCGGCCACACAAGTGACCGTGCTACATGAGAGTGTTCACGTCATGTGTGTGCGTGCGTGCTAAGTCGCTTCGGTCATGTCCGACTCTTTGCAGCTCCATGGATCATAACCCACCAGGCTCCTCTGTCCATGGGATTCTCCAGGCAAGGATACTGGAGGGGGTTGCCATACCCTTCTCCAGGGGATCTTCCCCACCCAGGGATCAAACCTGCATTTCTTAGGTCTCCTGTATTGGCAGGCAGATTCTTTACCATCTGACCACTAGGGAAGCCCATACCCTCTGCTTCACATCCTGCCGCTGCTTGAAAGTCTTCAGTGGCCGCCTGTTGCATTTAAAATAAAGTCCAAACCCTTTGCCCAAGCTTATGAGTCCTGTACAGTCTGCTCCCTGCTGTATTTCTCAAGCCACCCTTGCCCTGGCTTACCATGCTCCAGCCACGTGTGGAGCACTTATCTATCCAAGTCAGTCAAGGTCTTTCCTTCCTGGAGCCCTTTCTTGGGTGATTTCTCTAACTTGTCACCTAACTGGCTCCCACTTAATTTTTAGATTTCTGCTTAAATCATGATCTTGCTAAATATCCCTTCTAAAGAGGTTTCTCTCCTGATATTCTGTATTTTTGCCCTTTCTTTGTTTTCTGTACAATAGTCATTACAGTTTGCATTGTCTTTTTAAAATTTGGAGAAGGAAATGGCAGCCGACTCCAGTGTTCTTGCCTGGAGAATCCCATGGACAGAGGAACCTGGTGGGCTATAGTCCATGGGGTTGCAAAGAGTTGGACACAACTGAGCGATAAACACACACACTTTAAAACTTACTTATTTTTTTTTTCCCATTTTGGTCCATCATCCTCTTTAGAGGGCATTCTCTTCTTCACCAGTGTATCTGTGGTGAGTGTTTGGCCGCTTGTCGAATGAGCAGAGGGACTCTGACTTCCTAGAGTATGAAGAAGGATTATTAGTGGGAATAACTGCTTCTGTTTTCCAAGCAGTCATCCTTCTAGAATATTCAACGGAAGGCAATGTAGGACTGTGCCACAAGTGACTCACAGACCCAGACTGAAATTCGAGGAACCGTAGATGCTGTGATTCTGTTCTTCAGAGAAGTCACGGGCTGACGTATTGCCCGAGTGAGAGCAAGGCTGGGTCCATGCGATAGAACATGTGGTTCTCACAGTTCACTGGTGCTTTGGGTAACCTTCTTGACTTGGTCTGACCGTTGATCAGATCTTTGGAAAGAAATGCATTCTGAAGTTAACTTATAGAAAACTGAAGCAGGGTCTCCACAGCTTCCTCGCAGCCAGCCCCCTTGTGCCTGCGGACACTTGAGCTGAGCTGCATAGCCCAGCACAGGGTGATAAGGAGGTTTTGGGCCAGGTGTCCTCAGGGCCGTGCCAGACTGCTCCCTTCTCTGTTGGGTCTCCTGGGTTCCATGAAGGAAGAGAGTAGGTCATTCTGATCTGTCAGTATAGGTGAGTTAATGCTGAGGACAAACCACTAGCACGGACCAATAGAACATGAAAACACTCTGATTTCAAAGGGACAAAATTCTTTAAAGGGGCATATGAAAGAAATGTGGAAGCCATTCTCAACATCCTGGGACTCAAGGGCTAGTTCAAATGTTACAGTTCAAAAGAGCTAGCCTTTGAATAAATAAATGGTAGGTCTGTTTTATATAGTACATACTAAATTTATGGGAAATTTAATCCCAAGAGGTAGCAGGCTGAATGAACAAAGAAGTGTGAAATAAATTAGATCAACATAAATATATTTTATATGGCTCCCCTGGTGGCTCAGTGGTAAAGAACCTACCTGCCAATGCAGCAGACTTGGGTTCGATCCCTGAGTCAGAAAGATCCCCTGGAGAAGGAGATGGCAGCCCACTCCAGTATTCTTGCCTGGGAAATCCCATGGACAGAGGAGCTTGGCAGGCTACAGTCCATGAGGTCGCAAAGAATCAGACACGACTTAGCTACTGAACAACAACAACAAAATATACGTTATAGATGACCAGAATGTGTTATGTAGGAATTTTGGGGGTGTATCATTTCTAATCTTTGAGGTTTACAATAAAGATAACCATATTCTCCCACAAAATATTCTTTGGTACCATTTAGTCCCTTATCCTTTCAGTAAATATTAATTCAGCACTTTCTATACACATGGAACTATACCATGACCACAGTCAGAAATTGCCAATTGTCCCTTGGGGGCAAAACCTGTCTGGCTGAGAAGCTCTTTTTTAGCATGTTCTTTAGAACTGAGGTAAATGGCCCAGGTTGCTGGAATTAGATTAGGAACCTGATACTGTGTATCTCAGAAGCTTCCCAGTGCCTCCTGGGCACCTGGATAGAAGCTCTAGAGTTGATAGGTAGAAGCTGCCTGTTGTTTCGAGTAGCACCAGTGTTTGGTCTTGTACGTTGTAAGAACACATTTCCTCCGGGCTTCTGTGTCGCCCAGTTCCAGCTCAGGCTGCTGACTTCATTTGCCCCCTGGCCTAGAGTCTGGACGGCTGCGGGCGGGTATGGAGTCCTGCCTGCCCCTGCCACGCCCACGGCAGCTTCCCCTGTGAACCGTTCGGGGCCTCATGTTTATTCTGGGTACAAAGTAAGTCTCCATTATCTTCTGAACAGAATAATGGAACAGGATTTTACACCAGGCAGGAATTTGGGAGGCCTCTTGGAAAAGGGAGGAAAAAGTTGAAATATTTTCCCTGTGTTTTAGGTTATCGCAGCAGAAGGAATTGAAACAAAGAGAAGGCCGTGGCAGTGGCATGGGGCAGAGGGCTCATTATCCCTCTCAGACACGGCGTGGTCGCCAACACGGGGAGGATGCAGTGATTGTCTGGGAGAGGGTGAGGCCTCGTCAATAAAATCTCTGGTATGAGGAAACAGGAAACAAACTGGTCTTATTCGTATTAGGAAACAGGGGGCTTCCAAGATGACTTGAAAATGATTCCAAACTACCATGCAGAGTTAAAGGTGTGGACTGTGGAAAAATCCAGAACTGTTGCCCATGCCAGGGTCTACAGGCTGCACATGTCTTCCCAGAAGCTGTGTGGGCTAGCTGGTGGGGCTACCAGAGCCGCTTTGCCTCTGTCTTGTTATCTGTAAAAATCTCAGCAGCCAGGGTTCAAGCTGAGCAAGATCCCCTCTACAGAACTTGTCCCAGGAGGCCTTGGAAAGTTTCCCTTCTTGAAAGCATTCTGCTTCAGTGTACCTCAAGTTTTTTCTTTTCATTTCCCACCTGAAGACCCCACTGAGGGAAAAAAACAAGCAAAAGAAACCTAGAAAAAAACACGCAAAGTACTGGGTGCTCCTAACCAAACTACTCCAGGGCGTGTTTTCAGAATATACAGAGCACCTGATTCAGGCATCAGAATCACCTGGAATGCTTGACAAAATGCGGATTCTGGGGTTCTGTCTCACAGCTAGAGAATCTGAATGTGTGGCAGGGCCCAAATACCTGCATTTTCTTTTTTTTTAACTTTTAAAAAAACTTTAATTTGAAGGACAATTGCTTTACAGTATTGTGTTGGTTTCTACCAAACATCAACATGAATCAGACGTAAGTTTACCTATATCCCCTCCCACTTGAACATCCCTCCCACCTCCCTCCCCATCTCACCCTTCTAGGTCGTTACCAACATTTTCAATAACATATGAGAACCTACGTGAGGACAGGGATCTTTGTCTTTTATTCATAAATGTCTCCCGGATACCAAGATCACTTCCTAAAATACTGAAAATATTATAGGGCACTGTAAATACTTGTTGAATGAATAAATGAAACAAAACCTCATAGGATTTGTTCATTAAGTTTGCTCTTCTACTAAATAATAGCAGGAACCAGTGGCAGGACAGAGGAATCCTTAATGGGAGGAAGACAGACTAGAAGAGAGGAAGGGGGAAGTCAGTTTGAAGAATGGGGCAATTTCTGGGAGGCTAGGCTTAGGTGGAGCACGAAAATGGAGACTGTGTGCCTGGAACTCGTAGTGGATCTTGGCAGATGAAGAAAGAAGCTTGAGAAAAGGGAAATGCAATGAGACAGTGGTTATGGCAATGTGTTTTTTTTTTTAATTGGAGGCTAATTACTTTACAGTACTGTAGTGGTTTTTGCCATACATTGACATGAATCAGCCATGGGTGTACATGCAATGGTTCTTAAACCTCAGTGAGCCTCCCAGCCCCACCAGAGGGCTTGTTAGACGTCTGTTGCTCCTCCCCCCACCTTGAGTTTCTGATTCAGCAGCTCAGGGGCGGGGTCTGAGGATTTGCATTTCTGACAGCTTCCCAGGTGATGCAGCTGCTGCTGCAGTGAACTCTGTGAACCGTTTGGTTGGACTCTTAGTCTTCGGAGTCAGATGGTTTCGGGTATGCACCCCAGCTCTAACCTTGCTACTTGTGGGACCCTGACAGTTTCCCTAACCTCTGTATCTCATTCTCCTTCACATGTAATATGAATAATAAAGATAGTTAAACATGGCGAGGCTTACTTAGTTGATGTATGTGAAGTTTTTAGCAAAGTCTACCACTTCCAAGCACCCACTGTTTTAAAAATCATTATTTTATCTGGTGCCACTACATTTTTGGAGAAATAGCGAATATAGTTGTTATTCTAATGAAAGAGGCGATATGACTCATAGAGCTTTAATAACAGGATGGACTTGATCAGATTCCAACTTAGCTATTTGTTTCTCTGTCACAATATAGTATGTAACTAGCTGGAATTAATTCCTGATAAGAAAGCCATCAAAGGCTAATTTTCACAACAGGTAAGCATAAATGGACTGACTGGAGATGGATGGCACTAATGGTATTTCAGCAGTATGAATGTAGTTATTGCCACAGAGCTGTACACTTAAAAATGATTAAAACATTTTTAGAGTTAAATGGTAAGTTAAAAGAATCTATAAAGAATATATATACAGAAATATGTATATTTGTGTGCTCAGTCATGTCCCACTCTGCAACCCCGTGGACTGTAGCCCATCAGGCTCCTCCG